TCTGCATGCCAAAAGCTGGGTGAGACCCAATTCATGCCAACTATGATGTTTTCCTAAGAAGTCATTTTTAGTAAGCTGGACACAAATAAAGCATCTGAACATGTTCTAAAGTAGTGATAAAACACAGGTCTTATTGCTATCTTCTCTCTCCATGAGCACTCAGTAACAGCACTCAGCAGAGAGTGCCAGCTTCATAGCATACTCTCATATTCTCCATTTCTTTAGAGACTGACATCTGCAGTTTTGATGCAGGTTGGAAATGTCAGGTCTGGAGGGACAGCTGAGCTAAGCTAGCTCTCAACCATAAATACACAAAGAAAACTAGCGTAAGTTGGTATTCTCACTTTGCACTCCCCTCACATCCCTCCAACCCTCTAAAACACACAGAGCAGAAAGGGACTTGAGCTATAGGACCGAGTTGAGTAGCATCTGACTAAGTTCTTGGCAGTTAGTTCTAGCGGGGGTGCTGCCTGGAGCCAGGGACATTGGCAAACGATGGAGATGTTAATGGCTGTGTGGAGGTGCTGAGGATTTAAGGAACGCCATGTTTCGAGAAGAATCCTGGGACTTCAGCAACTGATCTCACTGCCACTTCCACAGATAAACTCTGTATCTCACCCATAGGAAGAAAAAGGAGGAAATGGAATGAAAACTTGGGACATAATACATCTTCAACCTTACATAGGGACTATTGGACTCAGTTGTTAATGCTCAGATATCTCCAAATCGCTAACTCAAATTTAGTGAGAATTAGAGATGGGAAAAATATCATCTTTGGGTTGAGCATTTTGTCATCCCAGTGAGTATTTTATATATAACTTATGGGTAGCCATATGTTATTGAAAATAAAGAACTTTAATTTACAATGCTGCTAGCATGACAATATAATAATACTGTAGCATGGAACTGATTTCAAATAATTGTGCTGCTCTGCCTTTATTTAATGATTTAAAGTGCAGTTATTAGTGACTCTGTAACAATGCCATTTCATGGCAATTCTGATTATTTTTTCAGTGACTTCTGAATCAAATCTACTCAGTTTACTAGGCAAAAGATTATTGTTATTGCTCCCAGTGGTGCAAACTCTCACTTGTATCTGAAAAACAAATAAGTCTGCCTCTTGCATCATAACTAGTTGGGGGTAGTTAAGGTAAGCCTTCTCAGGGTCCAGCATTTGTCATCAGAGGGAGTCCAAATGCAGCAGTGAGTCAGAGAAGCAGGTGAATAGTGCTAGCCAGCCACCTGGTAGGCTGGGATCAGCTGTCTAACTTGGCTGAAAGATGAAGGAGGCAAGAGAGAGAGGAAGACAAGAATCCATTTTGCCAGGCAGGGAAGGAAGAAAGTAAGTATCCATTGTGGAGATGGGCTGATAAGGATACGAGAGAACAAAGGGCCCTACCCTTTTGGTTAACGTAGCCACAGTTTTTAGTTTGAGTCCACATCTGACTATCATCGGTAAGCACTGAGACCTGGAAATGGGCATTAGAGAAAAACCCTGAAAAAGTGATGTTTTGATTGGATAATAAAGACCTGGCAATCAGAACATAACTGACAATGCTGTTTAAGATAAAATCCAGTTAGCGTTCTGTAGCTTTGTTGACTCTGCTGGCTTCCAACACTGAAAACACGTTTTTCTCAGCTTCGGGGGGTAGCCGAGTTAGTGTGTACAGGATAAACTTAAAAAACAACCAATAGTCTGGTAGCACTTTAAAGACTAACAAAACATGTAGATGGTATCATGAGCTTTCGTGGGCACAGCCCACTTCTTCAGATGACCAGAGTATTGGATGTCCAGAACTAAAATAAATAGGGGAAAAGGAGGGGGGGAGAAGGAAAAAATGGGGAGGGGGCCAAGAGGCAGTGAATATAAAGATATCAAGGGCAAAGCCGAGCTGGAATGGAGCAAGAAAAACAAATAGTCTACACACACTTAAAGACTGGATAGTCAAAAGAGACAGATAAGAACCATTAGTACACAAGAAGATATAGCATGGATGCCCAAGGATCATCTCCACTGAGTAAGAAGGTGTCATTTTTATACAGTCACTTTTTTATACATTAGCACATATCAGTGGTAAATACTGATTATCTGACTATTTTGGGGACAATTTATACCTTTGGATAATCAAAGTTTTAGATAAACAACATTTTCTTTTTGTATGACTTTCCAAACCAAAGAGGTAGATATAAATATTGGGTAGACTAACAATTGGCAAACAGTGATTTAGATTATTCTGAATACAGGTTTAGCTGTATTATTGGTCATATATTGAGACTTACAGAAAACAACTGCTTTTCCATTACCAGAAATATATAAAATTATTATGACTAAAGTATTACCTTGCCTTTATGATTTTCCAGCTTTGGACTTCATTCCTAGTTGAAATGGGGGTTAGCAGCATTGGCTAGCAGGACCACTATAATCCAGATTTACCTGCTATTTGTTTTGTTTAATATTGTTTTACATATGATTCTCTCAGGAATGTTGAGCATTTCTGTGCCAATTTTACCTTCTAGCAATTAGATTTTACTTGAAGGGTGCCACAGAGAATTGTAAGATTGTATGTAGTTGTATAGAGTCAGTCTGATGCAGCCGGTGCCATTTATGTGTATTTTCAGTATTGCCCAGCTCATCAATTGAACAGTGAAATGTTTTTGAACAAGAAAAAGCACCTTTTTCTGCTACATACCATTTAATTTAGATTTCCTGTGTAATTACAATGTAGATGTGAATTAAAACCAACATCAGAAAAGAGATCTGGGGTTTCTGGCTTATTATGTTGTGCCAAAAATGGGAACTGTTCTTGCATTCCCAAAGAGAACTGTATATTCTATGACTATTTGTGCAGCACCATCTGAATCTTATTAAGCTGCTTGTGACCAAGTGGAGTGCCAACACAGCTTTGCATGCAAAGACTCTCAATGCAAGCAATAAAAAACCACTCCTACAACACACTTAGTGGTGACATTGTGGCATTTACTAGCATGGCTATCATTAATGGCTTGACAAAATTTTCTTCACATTTTTTAGCAACTGAACAGTTACTGTGAAAATTAACTTTGGCTAAAACTCACCATAGCAGGACTCAGCCCAGGAACCATCAATTCTCGCAGCAGTTAATCAGCACAGCCGGTAACCATTGTTTCACTTAGCACTTTCTCCCTGGAATGTTTAGCCTAGAGGCCACCATGGCACAGCCACTCCTACTTTTTATGGCACTAACACAGAAGTGAAGCCTGGCCTAGTCTTCTGCTTTGCTCATGAGGCAATTTATAAACAAAATCCTTCCAGCTCCCATAGGCAAAAAACAACAGAAGGATAAAAGTTTTCTTACCCTCTGCAAACATGGACTGGCACCATAGAGGTGTAGAAATGACAAAGTGCACAATCTGATCTTGTGGTTACCTGGAGCCCAAGAATCTCTGGGAAAATTTGATTCCATCTTTATTGATCACAGATATCTACAGCAAAGTGAGTTTTGCCTAATTGTTCCCCACCTCCTTTACTAGTATTGCTCATAATACCCTCAGCTTCCCATCATGACTACTAACTACCTCAAAGCATTGGGATCAATAGCACCATCACTCTTTATGATTATGGTATATGCACGTGTAGAGCAACAGGGAGATTAGAACCTATGATTTCTAGGGGTAAAGTCACGTATCTTTACAACATGAACTAAACACCAACTGGGTCTTAGGTAAGGCTGAAAAGCCAATTTCATTCTCTCTGTCAGTGGTCTCAGTGTCTTGGGGATACATACTGATGTTGTTTGATAGCTGCCAAGTTTGTTACATGAGTAACAGTCCTGTCTACAGGTAGGGCACATCCACACACTGGTAATGTTCTGAATTTGAGCAGCAAATCCCTTTGGAGAGGTATTCTAATCCACCAACTGCTAGTGGAGAAGGTTATGCAATGCAGAGTGAGTCCCCTCTAACAGTGTTCCACACATTTTTAGAGCTCTTCAAATCCTCAGATATCTGCTTTATATCACAGTGCAGATATCCACAGTTCATTTATGCATATGCAGATGCGGATGCAGATACACATTTTCCCTTAAAAGCCTTCAGAATTCCATATGCACACCTATCACATGGGAAAGTGTTTATGGACTCCAGGAGAGGGAAGGAATATGAACAGCTCCAATTCCACTTCTGCAAGTTACTGGCTTTTTACTCCTTGAAACAGGGTGTCCAGGAGCAGGGCCTGTGGAAGGAAGTCCTAAATCCCAAACATGTTCCTACTCCTTACCACTTTCTTCTGTGCAATTTGAGCCAAGTCACTTCACTTCTCTACCTTGGAGTGCATCTACGCAGCACAGTTATTTTGAAATAACCATGCGAGCATATGCACAGCAATTCCACTATTTTGAAATATTTTTGAAATAACAGAGAGCTTATTTCAAAATCTGTAAACCTCATGCCACAAGGAATGACGCCCATTTCGAAATAGGGTGTGTGTGGATCCAGGCAGCTGGAGTTATTTCGAAATAAGGGACCTGCAGGAAATCCCCCAACTGCTCTGCTGGCCACTCTGGCCACACTCATCAGGACTCTATAGTTCCTCTTCCTCTGCAGCCTTTAAAGCTGCAGGAGAACAGGCATGTGGCAGGAAGCTGGCCCTGACAGTTTCCAGCCACTCTGCTGCTGCCACAACCACTCCAAGGGCCAGCATGAGTGACCCTCAAGCCCCCGCAAGACCCATCCCCCACTCCTAGGGAGCAGTCTGATGGCTCCCAGGAGCCTGCCAGGTGCTGCAAGAGGCGCATGCTGTCCTGGTCTGGGGCAGAGATCCTAGCCTCACTGAGGCGTGGGGCAAGGAAGAAAACCTCCAGGATCTCCATACCAGATGACACAATGATGATATCTACTGCTGCATGGCCGATAGCCTGGCCACAAAGGGCCACATCTGGACCCAGGGGCAGGGCCGGATGAAAGTGAAGGAGCTACACCAGGCCTATTCCAAGGTGAGGAAGCACAGCTCCTGCCCCTGGGCAGAACCCCACTCCTGCCCCTATTTATCTGGAGCTGCACCACACCTTGCGGGTGTCATCACCCACCCAGGGGGCAGAGCCAGTCGTACAGAGGAGGAGGAAGAGGAAAACCCCGATGTGGCCAGCACCATGACCTCAGTGACACTGGAGCTGGTTCCTCACTGCCTGGATGTGTCCCAGTCATCCTCCAAGGCTGGGGAAGGATCATCAGGTGAGTAATCTCAAGCACCTGACACAGGCAGCAAAGGGCTGGGTGTGCTCCTCTTGTGGCCTTCTTGGCCTAGGAATCATGCTGCAGTCTGTGCACATGGATGCACGTAGGATCACCAGGTGTCTGGTTTTCTACAATTTTTGGGCCCTCTGTCGGGTAAAAAAATCCAGAAAATACCAGACATGTGCAATGTCCAGTATTTCCTGGATTTCTGGCTGGGCGCCATACGGAAGCCTAGCGGGGACTGGGGGAGTGGCTGGGAGGCAGGGCGCGATTGGCACTGGGAGCCCTGGCTGCGTCTGATGCCTCGGGGAAGAGGAGATGCCCTGTCCCTGCTCCTGAGCGTGTGGTGGAGCCGCAGCCGGACTCACTCACGCTTCTCCGGACCGTGTGTGGGACTGACAGCGCCTCGGGATCTGCACGTGGCCAGGTTAGTCCCGCCTTCATGTACTCCGACCCTTCCCGACCAGCTCAGCTGCTCCCAACCCCCTCCTGGTCACCCCTGCTTCCTGCCGGCTGGTTCTCCTCCTCCCGATCTCCCCGGGCCAGCCACGCTGCCCCCAACCCTTCCCCATCACCCTTCCTGACCAGCTCAGCTGCTCCCAACCCCCTCCTGGTCACCCCTGCTTCCTGCCGGCTGGTTCTCCTCCTCCCGATCTCCCCGGGCCAGCCACGCTGCCCCCAACCCTTCCCCATCTTCCCGGGCCAGCCGCGCTGCCCCAACCCACCAGCCTCGCCCCCCAGCCCCACCCATCTCCCGCAGCCAGCCGCGCTGTCCCTTCCCTATCAAGTGTGTCCGGTATTTTTTCTAAACCTACCTGGTAACCCTAAATGCACGTGCAGCCCCAGGAGGTTGCACCACAGCACCCCTGGGCTGTTGCTCACAGGGCCTGGGGAGGCCAGCTATGCTTCAGACACCCAGGTGGGAGACCCTCCCTCCAGAAGCCACCATTAAAAGGAGGCCGGGGACATAACCACACACACATACACACACACACACACAGAGGAGTGCTGCACACCACACACAGGCATGCCTGTACGTTCAAGGCAGAACCCACTCCCCGGAATAGTGCTGCCAGCTGCAGGTGCGACTGCTGCTCACACACCGTCTCTCCCTCTATTTCAATGTATTTTTTTGTGTACAGACGCGCTATTTCGAAATAAGCTATTTTGGATAAAAATTCTGAAATACCTTATTTTAAAATAAGCATGCTGTGTAGGGTACTCTCAGAGTCTGTATATACTGGAGGGGGATTTGGTGAGATGGTTATTTGGAAGGGGTAATTTGTTTTTTGCACAGGTCTAGTTAAACTGATGCAGCTGCAGTAGGCAACTTTGTTAGTGCAGCTCTGTTAGTTTAAAAAAATAACAAGTGCGTGGGGACAAGTTCTCAGCATCCACATCCTTAAATTGGGGAAGATAATAAGGGATTATGAGAATACATTTGTTTGAACAGCAAATTTAGCAAGTATTCTATCTCTCTAGCTATTCCTACCACACTTGAATTATCCTTTGTTCCCCTCCTCCCTGCACAGTGAATTGGAGCATCTGGCCCATATTACTGAACTGTTAATTGTATTTCTTGGCATGATAAGGTGCCAACATGTCTTGGTCTGAACATAAACTTTCAGAGGGAAAGCTTTAAAAATGAGTAGTCCTGTGGCACCTTAGAGACTAACAAAAAAAGGAAATCTGTCAATTGTAGTGCTGGAGCTAATGAGCCTCATTAGCACCGGCACTACAATTGACAGACTTTTTTTCTCTCTTCCCCTTCTTTTTCTGTTATAAATTCTGGGTTCCCATTTTTTCCACTCCAGCTCATCTGAGAAAATGGGTTTTGCTATATCAGGACCACTCATTATTGGTATAAACATAAGTAATGTTCATAGAACTTTTCATAGAGAATTGTTTCCAAATACATCAGGCTACACCAGAGCACACACGTAAAAAAACAAATTAGTCAGTCTGAGATTTTTTTGCATGAATGCAATGCAAGATAATATATGAAAATGTATTATCAGAATAACACACCCATTCCCACCAGCATTTCTTATTCCATGTACTCAGCTACAGAGCGGACAAGAACTCGTACCATGGATTGCTACAAGAATTATAATGTCAAAGATTAACAGCTCAGCCGTACAGAAAGTCTTAACAAAATCACAACTACACCCACAGTTTTCTATTTAAAATATCATCTACCAACAGTGACCATTGAGGGGTATCAGAGATGCTACAGCTTTCTCCTATATTTACAGCAGAAAATAACTCCAGTAACTGTGTGGCATGTCTTGACAAATACTCCACATTTTTGTGGGAGCCACCATACAGGTCAGGAAGAATGTGGCCAGATCAGAAATTTAGAACATGTTATTTGTTCCTATCTAATTATCAGTAATTTTTGGTCTAAGATTCAGGATGTTGTGTGCAATAAATTTGGTAAAGAATACATTCTTAAAAACATAGACACAGTTCTTGGCTTGGCCTCTTTTTCTGTCTGGATCTGACTAACGCTCTAGAACCAAATGGATTAGTGATTTTAATGAAGTGGAAGAAACTTTTCTTTTGCATGAAGTTAAAACGATGTCCCAAATATGAACAATGTCCGAAATGGAACCTTTGGCTTGAAAATGGGACTTTGTGTAATGTTGGTCACAGCTTGTGTTTTCAGACATATTACACAGCACTGAACTACCAGTATGATATGGAAAAGGATTATCCAGACCTATTTCCACTAAAAATGAAAACAGTACATATCTAGTGTCTTGAAAATATTGCTAGTGGGTTTTGGCCCAAATCTCATCATTAGTGTGATGCCTGTGCTTGTTAGAGTTGCAAAGAGTTACAGGCATTTGTATCTTATTGCATGAGTCTTTCTGTTTTAACATCTACCTATATGTGTATGTGTATTATCAGATAATGCGCATAGGGTTGACAAAAAATGTTCACATAACAGTACCCCAAAAATTGCTACATATCAAATCGAACCCCCACTTTTCTACAAAATACCCCAATGTTCATTTATTAGACCATACTGACTCCCACTGAGTAGAAATAGCAAGGATTTTAAACATTACCTGATAATTTCCACTAATTAACCAAAAAATTGTTATTCTAAAAGTCCATGTTACATAAATGTTAAAAGAACATAAACAAAGGATTGGCTCAGATGAAATTCTTTTTAAACTGACCTGCACGCATGATGGGCTTCTTTCCTCTTTTAATTTTTTTAATACGAATCTGATAAAAAGATTTGTAGGGAATGAAATCATTAAAAAGTGTTCCAATAATATGGGGGGCTAGATTGAAATAAGAGTTAATGATGCACTTAACTCAGCCGGTGGTGCCTCTGTACTGCAGAGATCTCAGAACAGGATGAGTAAGCAGTGTTGCCGAACACAAAGAGCAAGTTGAGGATGGTGTTTCAGTATTACCTTTGAATTTACTTGCAACTGGGGTTCATAGGATCACAGAAATTAAGGATGGAAAAAAACTATTAGATCATCTTGTCCACCCTGCTGCCAATGCGGGATTGTCCCCTAATCCCTACACTATATTTTCAAGAGCTTTGTCCAGTATGTCAGACTCAATGGAATTTGAGAATTGTTGCTTGTGGTTTCAGATGTCCGCAAGTTTTCCAAAAGCTCAATCCATTTTTTTTAATTTGAGGCTTGTATGAGTTCAGCATCAATTGGCATTGTTTCTCCTTGCTTAGAGACTCCTGGCCCCCATCAGTTAGAATAATGAACTACGCACCATGCTGATTTGATGACAAGAACAGAATTCTCAGGTTAACTTTTAATACAGGAATGGTCTTAGGTTTGTGCCAAGCATGCATCTGCACAAGGCCTCTGCATGTTGGAGGACTCCCCTGTGTTGGCTCTCTTTCTCATTATGCATTTGTCACCTTCCTTCCCCATTGATCTGTCAGCATGACCCCAGTCTTGAAAGGAGAATGTATAATTCCAAACCTCACTGACATTAATGCATTGATTCCCCTCTCAGATGTTATCTCAAGGGTTCAACACAGACACACACTCCAGGTCTAAAGCTGCCAAACTTTTTTTTCCCATATACATAATAGGAATAGGATTGTCATGACAGATCAGACCAGTGGTTCACGTCACCGAGTATCCTGTCTCTGACAGTTACCAATACCAGATGCAAAGTGCAAAAATCTTTAGGGGGAGGTTTGCAAAGCAGAACAACTCCCATTGCTAATCCACAGGAGCTGCATGCCTAATTCCCTTACATTCCTTCCAAAATCATAGCTGTAATGGACAATGATGAATAACCTGGACATAGAGGAAGTTACTTACTAAACACCATCTGCTAATAGCTGGCTTATGCCATAAAGCATAAGAATTTATAAACCTAATTGACTTTTAATCACAAGTAATGTAATTGTGAATATTCACATTAGGCACAGAAATGTCTTTTACTTTTAAAAATTATTCTGTTTTCTTATCGTCAATTATTTCTAGTGGCAGAAAGTTTTGCAGGTGTGTTTTGTTGGTATAGAAGTATTTCCTTTAAATGTTTTCAATTTGCTAGCTTTCAGTTTTATTGAATGCCCCCATTATTATCGTGGTTTGAATGCCTGGTATGCCATCTTTTTATCATTCATTTTTGTGTGCATCTATCTGTTTCCTGGCTAAACAGTCCAGGCTATCCGAGACTGGGGCATAGGCAGTTAGGCCTACTAGTTACTACAGGGCTAGTGCTATGGAGTCAATGGGTGGTCATGGAGCAATGGTCAACAAGCAATGGCTGGAGACTAGGTCCACAGCAATGGCAAGCCAAAAGTCTGCACAATTGACCAAACAACTTTCTGAAGCAGTCTCCTAGATTAATTAGTGGGCATGAGCCAATCAGAGACCCACAGGGTGTTTTCACTCTGTCTCTGCAGCATTCTTTGAATATGGCTCTTCATAGCCTTCTAAGAAGTAATATGGGATAGGTAAATTCTGAACTGCCCTAGGTGCTCTAAACATGGGTTC